AATCTATGTGATATATCTATAAATTACAAAGTGATTTATCTATGACTGAGTATGTTTGAATTTACTTACACCTATAGTCTTAAATATCTGTTAATAATCATGATATCAGTAAATCCTCTCCTTAAAAATTATGTAACATGAAAAGGGTCAACAACCCAACCCCTTAGTCAAATCCCCTATTAAAAGGCTAGTTCGTGTGCAAAAAGATCTATTCAAAAAATTTTTTAAACTGTCCCTTCAATCTTATTCTTATCAACTTAGGACAGATCTTTGCCGGATTAGGGAAGACTTCAAATGTTCATTAACTGTGGCAAAAACATAATAATATTATTATAATAAATCATTCTAAAGATTTCTGTTTCTTGTTTTATTTCTTTTGCTACTGGTTGGGGGTTTTGTCATCTTTTCAGAATCTTTATGGAGATTGTTTTATTTCTTTAGTTACTGGTCCAGGGTATGTCAACTTTCAGAATCTCCCGAGGGATTTTAAGTGTATGTGGATCTAATGCTTCCCTTTTATATGTCATAAGTGTTTTTTTTTTTATCTAATATTCTTTGGCTTAGAAAGAGTATATGTGCTTAGATTAATCTATAACTCTTCTGAATGGTGATTTTTAAGGTATTTGAGTGTATATAAATTGAGGATTAAACTTGTCAGGACAACACATCTCTTGGGAGAAATCCCCATAAATCAGAAAAGTTGGCAGGTCTTGACTGTGATTCAATTTACTTCAAAATTTGCTTGCATGTACATTTTTTCTACAAACAAGTTATTCGTTATTTTCTAAATAACCATGCTATATATACAGTCAATGACCCATTATCTTGTTTCATAATGTGTTTCAAGTAATGTAGGGTTCAAAATTTTTTACCAGTTTTTGACCAAAATTCACAATTTTCAGGAATTATATTTTCTTCTGAATAGTTTAATTATGGTAAAAAGGAAAAATCTTTCATTTAGACTTGCATCAAATCAAGTTCCTATTTATGAAAAATTTAGTTTTTACATAGCCATCTTTACATGTAGTCTACTGATTATAATTTTTTTACATAGACTTCTGTGGAGAGAGGAACTCATGCAGGTGATTACATAACAGTCATCAATATAAAAAGCTTTTGTTAAAGGTTGCAGATGAACTACAGGAACAAATTATAGAAAAAAACACTTCAAAGAACTGTACTTGTAGTAAGGATTCGCATTATTTATTTGATATCAATTTTTTTTGTCAGATTTACTTGGCACGATAATAGCTTCACATTAGAATGCCCCACATTTTGATGTGTTTCTAAGCCTCCTACGAATATATCCCATGTTTGTAGACAACCTACTTTATTCTATATTGAGAAGGACAGGCACAATCTTACTGATAACAATCATTTAATATTTATTTCACATTGATTTTGATCAAAGTTTGACATACTGAATAAAATGCTTCGCTGGGCGCAGCTTGATACGACCGCAGAGGTCGAACCCTGAACAGTTGGGGCAAGTATGGACACAACATTCAAGCTTGATACAGCTCTGAATTTGGATTGTGATTAAATATTTGACACAGCATAGGTTTCTGACACAGAAAGAATGTGGTCTAAGAACTTCAATTTTTTTATTTACCTATTACGGTCCAATGTCCAAAATCAAAATACATGGTTAGATTCAGCATATCAAAGAACCCCATATATTCAATTTTTGTTGAAATCAAACAAAGTTTAATTTTGGACCCCAACTTGGACAAACTTGAAAACTGGTCCCATAATCAAAAATCTAAACACATGGTTAGATTCAGCATATCAAAGTACCTGAAGAATTCAATTTTTGTTAAAATCAAACTAAGTTTAATTTTGGACCCTTTGGACCCTAATGTAGACAAATTTAAAAAAACGGGACCCTAAATTAAAAATCTAAAAACACAGTTAGATTTGGCATATCAAAGAACCCCAATAATTCAATTTTTGATGAAATCAAACAAAGTTTAATTTTGGACCCTTTTGACCTCAATATGAACCAATTTGATAGCGGGCCCACAAATAAAAAATCTAAATACATGGTAAGATTCAGCATATCAAAGAACCCCATATATTCAATTTTTGTTGAAATCAAACAAAGTTTAATTTTGGAACCCAATTTGGACCATCTTGAAAACTGGGCCAAAAATCTAAAATCTAAATACATGTTTAGATTCAGCATATCAAAGAACCCCATATATTCAATTTTTGTTGAAATCAAACAAAGTCTAATTTTGGACCCCAACTTGGACAAACTTGAAAACTGGTCCCATAATCAAAAATCTAAACACATGTTTAGATTCAGCATATCAAAGAACCCCAAAAATTCAATTTTTGTTAAAATCAAACTAAGTTTAATTTTGGACCCTTTGGACCTTAATGTAGACCAATTTAAAAAACAGGACCCAAAATTAAAAATCTAAATACACGGTTAGATTTGGCATATCAAAGAACCCCAATAATTCAATTTTTGATGAAATCAAACAAAGTTTAATTTTGGACCCTTTTGACCTCAATATGAACCAATTTGATAGCGGGCCCACAAATAAAAAATCTAAATACATGGTAAGATTCAGCATATCAAAGAACCCCATATATTCAATTTTTGTTGAAATCAAACAAAGTTTAATTTTGGACCCCAATTTGGACCAACTTGAAAACTGGGCCAAAAATCTAAAATCTAAATACATGTTTAGATTCAGCATATCAAAGAACCCCATATATTCAATTTTTGTTGAAATCAAACAAAGTTTAATTTTGGACCCCAACTTGGACCAACTTGAAAACTGGGCTCATAATCAAAAATCTAAACACATGTTTAGATTCAGCATATCAAAGAACCCTAAGAATTCAATTTTTGTTAAAATCAAACTAAGTTTAATTTTGGACCCTTTGGACCTTAATGTAGACAAATTTAAAAAACGGGACCCAAAATTAAAAATCTAAATACACGGTTAGATTCGGCATATCAAAGAACCCCAATAATTCAATTTTTGATGAAATCAAACAAAGTTTAATTTTGGACCCTTTGGACCTCAATGTGGACCAATTTAAAAACGGGGCCCAAAATCCAAAAACTTAATACACGGTTAGATTCAGCATTTTAAAGAACCCCAAGAATTCAAGAATAAAACCCCATTGAAATTGATCAAGAAATAAGCAATTTATACGAAGTATCTTCTTTTGCACAATACTGTGCAATTGAATATTTCTTGCTATTGCGCAATACTGTACAATTGACAATTTCTTGCTATTGCGCAATATTGTGCTATTGGATATTTCTTGCTATTGCGCAATACAGTGCAATTGAAGATTTCTTGCTATTGCGCAATACTGTGCATTTGAAGATTTCTTGCTATTGTGCAATACTGTGCAATTGAAAATTTCTTGCTATTGCACAATACTTATTATATAATAATTTACACATCCTGTTTGGTGTGTATCTCCTACCATATCAATTTTATTTGCTTTTAAATATAAATCAGAAATAACCAACTTAAAATGGAAAATTTTAAAAGAAAAAAAAAAAGGAAAAAAAGAAAAAAAAAAAAATCCCCCCCCAAATTTTTTGAACCCCCTTATGATTCATCACCCCCAAACTCAATCCCAGCCTTCCCTTTGTGGTATGGTACCTTGCAGTACAATTTCAGAGAGATCCATACACTTGAACACAAGTTATTGTCTGGAAACTAGAAAAATGCTTATTTTTGGCCCCTTTTTGGCCCCCAATTCCTAAACGTTTCGGGCAATTACCCCCAAACTCAATTCCAGCTTTCCCTTTGTGATATGGAACCTTGTAGAACAATTTCAGAAATATCCAAACACTTACACACAAGTTATTGTCATGAAACTAGAAAAATGCTTTTTTTTTGCCCCTTTTTTGGCCCCTAATTCCTAAAATTTTGAGGCAATTACCCCCAAAATCAATTACAGCCTTCCCTTTGTGATTTGGAACCTTGTGGTACAATGTCAGAGAGATCCATACACTTACACACAAGTTATTGTCTGAAAGTTACAAAAATGCTTATTTTTGGCCCCTTTTTGGCCCCTAATTCCTTAACTGTTGGTACCATAACCCCCAAAATCAATCCCAACCTTCCTTTTGTGGTATTGAACCTTATGGTGAAATTTCATGGAGATCCATTCACCTAAACTAAAGTTAGAGTGTGAAAACCAATGTGTCTTCGGACGACGCCAGACGACGCCGGACGACGACGACGACGACGACGACGACGACGACGACGACGCCAACGTCATACCAATATACGACCAAAAAATTTTTAATTTTTGCGGTCGTATAATGAGAAATACATTTCTGGTAACTGTAGTTAGGCATAAAATCTACTTCAGAACTTTACTAACCTGGGAAAATGAATTGACAAATGTGAGTTGAACATTGAAGGCAGCAAACAAAAAAAATAATTTCGAAAATACAAATGTGTAGTATGTCTCCATTTAATAATCATCCAAATCTCATGGCATAAGAATGAAGGGAAAATTTAGTTTTGCCTAGTAACTTTTTCAACATTTCAGCAAAAGTGTTTAAAATGCCTCTCAAGCCCTTTACCACTTCTCCCAGTTTTTCCTGAGGGGAAACTGACATTTAGCTCAAAACTGGAAGTGATTTTCTGAATTATTTTCCCTTTAAGAAAAATATGAAACATATAAAAACTGAACCAATATGTCATCTTTACATAGGTTTGATTAGCAAAGAATATAAGTTCTGACACAAAGTTTAGGTTTCTAGGTTAGAGAACATGTAGTTACCAGTTTAGAAACATCTGGCTAAGACAGGTTTCCAGTTAGGAAACATTTAGTTTAGACAGATTTCCAGTTTAGAAAAGGTTCCAATTAGACAGGTTTGCTTTGGAAATAAGTCCATTTAGACAGGTTTCCTGTTTAGAATAGGTTGCATTTAGACAGATTTCCTGTTCAGAAAAGGTTCCAATTTAGACAGGTTCAACTGTACATGTATCAAATTTATTCTAACTACTTACCTTTCTAGAAATTTATCAAATATATGGCCTCTCAATGAATTGCAAATTTCTTCTATATATGGCTGAAAATAAAAAAATAATAAAAGAAGGATTAATGTAAAATTATTGAGCAGCAACCAAAAAACAAACAGTGAAACCGAAAAAAAAATATTCTTGGGATACATTTCAGCTATTGTTTCATCTCATACTTTGGAATTTTAAATGTTTTTTTTCTGCACAAATCTAATGAAAATGTTATTTTGTTATTAACATCGACATACTGACTATCTGACTTTGTGAATATGCTACTGTAGACAACACATTGATTATGAAATTCAACCATCTAAATGCACCAATTAAATGAAACGCTTGCCTGGACTTTCAACTATCTCATAAGTCTAATCATTTAAACTGATATCATCAACGAAATGCACAGACTCACGGGGACGAACAAGATTAAAAAAGACACACACTTAATAGTTGTATCTTCATGTAGCTGAGTACAGACATTACATATATCTGTATTTACATTAGTATGTCATGAAAGACTTATTATATGTTATAGAAATAATCACCAATATCACAGCTTGTTTATATAACATGAATGTCCTATAATTTACATATAGAATATTTGTTGCTAATTACTTTCTGGTTCCATCATTATTGTGTTATTGTATTGTTGTATTGTTGTATTGTTGTATTGTTGTATTTTTGTATTCTATTTTTGTATTCTATTTTTGAATCATTGTATTATTGCATTACAATGTACCAGGGGAAAAATCATGCATCTGCTATTCTTACTTATGTAGTTATTTCTTTAAAACTACAAATACTTTAGAATTGATGTTTTTTTTTGTACATATACTTAACTACCTTTTATGGATTAAAATTCTTAAAGTTTATGGGAAAAATCAATTATTGATCCATTTTTTAGCCACTGTTTTAGGCTTAAAACATACTAAATGAATAAAAAATAAAACACCTTTTGTTGGACTTCAAATTGGAACTTGGTCTTATAGTAACCAGGAAATCCACATAACTGATACTGTATCAACCAAAACAACACAGCTATAATAACTGTATGTCCCTCAAGCTATACAACAATAGGACGGTCAAAGGCTGCATGAAAACATGACAAAAGATACAGAAAGGGATCAGCAACATCATCAACATAATGTTACAGCAGTACCATAGGTTATCAAATCAGAAAGGGATCAGCAACATCATCAACATAATGTTACAGCAGCAGCACCATAGGTTATCAAATCATAAAGGGATCAGCAACATCATCAACATAATGTCACAGCAGCACCATAGGTTATCAAATCAGAAAGGGATCAGCAACATCATCAACATAATGTTACAGCAGCACCATAGGTTATCAAATCAGAAAGGGATCAGCAACATCATCAACATAATGTTACAGCAGCACCATAGGTTATCAAATCAGAAAGGGATCAGAAACATCATCAACATAATGTTACAGCAGCACCATAGGTTATCAAATCAGAAAGGGATCAGCAACATCATCAACATAATGTTACAGCAGCACCATAGGTTATCAAATCAGAAAGGGATCAGCAACATCATCAACACAATGTTACAGCAGCACCATAGGTTATCAAATCAGAAAGGGATCAGCAACATCATCAACATAATGTTACAGCAACACCATAGGTTATCAAATCAGAAAGGGATCAGCAACAACATCAACATAATGTTACAGCAGCACCATAGGTTATCAAATCAGAAAGGGATCAGCAACATCATCAACATAATGTTACAGCAGCACCATAGGTTATCAAATCAGAAAGGGATCAGCAACATCATCAACATAATGTTACAGCAGCACCATAGGTTATCAAATCAGAAAGGGATCAGCAACATCATAGGTTATCAAATCAGAAAGGGATCAGCAACATCAGCAACATAATGTTACAGCAGCACCATAGGTTATCAAATCAGAAAAGGGATCAACAACATAATGTTACAGCAACACCATAGGTTATCAAATCAGAAAGGGATCAGCAACAACATCAACATAATGTTACAGCACCACCGTAGGTTATCAAATCAGAAAGGGATCAGCAACATCATCAACATGTTACAGCAGCACCATAGGTTATCAAATCAGAAAGGGATCAGCAACAACATCAACATAATGTTACAGCAGCACCATAAGTTATCAAATCAGAAAGGGATCAGCAACAACATCAACATAATGTTACAGCAGCACCATAGGTTATCAAATCAGAAAGGGATCAGCAACATCATCAACATAATGTTACAGCAGCACCATAGGTTATCAAATCAGAAAAGGATCAGCAACATCATCAACATAATGTTACAGCACCACCATAGGTTATCAAATCAGAAAGGGACCAGCAACATCATCAACATAATGTTACAGCAACACCATAGGTTATCAAATCAGAAAGGGATCAGCAACATCATCAACATAATGTTACAGCAGCACCATAGGTTATCAAATCAGAAAGGGATCAGCAACATCATCAACATAATGTTACAGCAGCACCATAGGTTATCAAATCAGAAAGGGATCAGCAACATCATCAACATAATGTTACAGCAGCACCATAGGTTATCAAATCAAACTGGCATCTAAATAGATTTGTTGCATAAGGAACTTTTTTTTGTGTTGGGTAATGTTTTTTTTTTGTTTTTTTGAAGATAATTATGTGCTGAACAGTTGTGTCAAATAATGATAACAGCTAACACAGATTTATGGCTCCAAAAATAGTTAGAAGAGGACATTTTACTTTGTATACATAGGTAATGTGACCTTGGCCTTTGAAATATCTACCAGTAAACCAATAGTGACAAAAATCATTTACCGTAAACACACAAATTTTAAAAGGTAACTTTGACTCTCTCTGGTCCAAAAATGCATAAAGCTTTTCAGAATTAAAAAGACTAAAACTATGCTATGTTGTTAAAAATCTTACAATATTTACAAATCTTGAAACACTTTTTATGTTTCAGTATCAATAAAAAATCGCTTCTCCTCAGAATACTAATAACTTTTATTGAAGCAACCACTCAGGTTACTAACTACAATGTATAAGGAATATGAAATCATTCATCATAAAAATTCGAGACAAATTTAAACTATCTGATTAGTGAAAGTAGTAATAAATCTTCCTGTGAGTGAGAAAAAATCAAGATACTAATCATGAGGAAGAATATCCTAACAGAACAATGTATAGTACCCAAGAGATTAGTAACTTTTTCTCAATAGTAACCAGAACAGCTAATCTATTTTCTTCTTAGCCATAAATTTTCCAGTCTAGACATTAACAAAATTACCATTATATATTTAGCATTACTTAATGTATAGCTGTAAGGTAATTGATCATAAATGAAAAGGGTACTAGAACATTCAAATTCAAATTCTTTATTGACTTTGAGCTATACGGCTCATCAGTGTATTCAAATAAATAAATAAAACACAAGATAATTTCAAGGATTTGTTTTAGAAAAATTGGATAATTTTGTTTAATGTACGGTCAAAATAAAAAAAAAAAGGATTTTAGTGCAGTTCAGTTGCTCTTTTATTGACATCTACCCAAAATTTCCATTTATTAATATTTAAAATTATAGATTCGTATTAAACATTAGGTAACAAATTAAAATAAATAAACTTTCACCCATTCAATCATACAGATTTCATGAAAATTTTATCAAAGCATTATTCTGCTTTGGTACGATGTGTGGGCAGATGGACAGACGGATGAACCGAGGGTAAACCATTATACATCATCATGTATAAGAAATGTGTAAAACACATAAGGCCATAGGTGACAATCAAATTTTTTATCATATCGGACATCATCAATGATATAAAAGAACAGAGTTCCAATGTCCACTGCGTTGCACATATTTTATATTTCAAGAATTGTACCCGTGGGAGCGCTAACGAGGCCTTTTTCCATAAATTTAATATTTCCAAGGGACATAACTCTTTTAAAAAAAGTCGATCGGCCACCATTATATTTATAGAACTTGTCCGAGATATTGCTGATATTAACCTATAGCATAAGTTTTATAAAAATCTGGCAAGAATTGTACCTGTGAGAGCGCTAACAAGACCGGACAGAGGGACACACGGACCGACGCCCGGTATTTCCATGTCCCCCGCAACGCGTTACGCAGGGGACAATAAACTCTTTACTATAAATTCAGAAATTTTTGTTTGCACTTATCATTGTGATGGTTGAACAAAGGACAGAAATGGCAGTAAAATTATTGTTATATCAGGAAATACTACATACAATTAATGTAATCAAAGTTTAAAATGCAACTTTTATTTTAAGGAAACCTAACTGGTTGCTCATACCCCTATTCAAGCTTGATGACCCTTTTCTTGGATTAGGGAGTTGCTTGATGACCATTTTCTTGGATGAGGGAGTCGCTTGATGACTCTTTCTTGGAAACTTGTGGGAGTTGCTTGACCCCTTTCTTGGATGTGAGATTTGCTTGAAAACCCTTTTCTTGGATGTGAGAGTTGCTTGAAGACCCCTTTCTTGGATGTGAGAGTTGCTTGATGACCCCTTTCTAAGTGAATGTGAAAGTAGCTAAGTGACCCTTTTCTTGAATGTGGAATCACTAAGTGATCCTTTTCTTGAATGTGGGAGTCACTAGATGACCCTTTTCTTGGATTAGGGATTCACTTGATGACCCTTTTCTTGGATTAGGGAGTTGATTGATGACCATTTTCTTGGATGAGGGAGTCGCTTGATGACCCTTTTTTACTAGATTAAGGATTCTCTTGATGACCCTTTTCTTGGATAAGGGAGTCCCTTGATGACCCTTTTCTTGGATCAGGGAGTTGCTTGATGACCATTTTCTTGGATGATGGAGTCGCTAGATGACCCTTTTTATTCAATTAAAGAGTCTCTTGATGACACTTTTCTTGGATGAGGGAGTCGCTTGACGACTCTTTTTATACGATTAAAGAGTCTCTTGATGACTCTTTTCTTGGATGAGGGAGTCGCTTGATGACCCTTTTCTTGGATTAGGGAGTTGCTTGATGACCATTTTCTTGGATGAGGGAGTCGCTTGATGACCCTTTTTATTCAATTAAGGAGTCTCTTGATGACCCTTTTCTTGGATGAGGGAGTAGCTTGATGATCCTTTTTATTCAATTAAGGATTCTCTTGATGACCCTTTTCTTGGATGAGGGAGTTGCTTGATAACCCTTTTCTTGGATGAGGGAGTCACTTGATGACCTTTTTCTTGAATGAGGAAGTCGCTTGATGACCCTTTTCCTGGATGAGGGAGTCACATGATAACCTTTTTCTTGGATATGATTGTCAGCCTCATCAACATAACATATACAAATCGTTTGCTCACTTACTAAAACTGGAAAATTAGATTTTTAAACCGCTTGCATGACTCTGTTAGGTAATAAAATTTCATGATCCATCATTTACATGCAAGATATAATTTGCTCAAGGACTAATGTTCTTTTGTAACATATGACTGATCCAAATATTAAAATAATTCTTCAGCTCATCATAATAATTCCGCAGTGATAGCAGGCTGGTTACAAGTCATCAACGCTTAATTACCTGTTATATTGACAATTTAATTACCTGTAATTTCCACAGTATGACAAGACTTACATAACAGGATTCAAATGGATATTTCTAATCGATTATTAGTCTGTTCTCTAAATACTTAAACGAGGTGCTAGATTCGCACAGAATTTAATTCTAACAATGAACTAAAACTAATTATCATTCTTGCAACTTGGGAAATTATTGTATCACTCGTAATTGAACGGGCTGCAATGTTTTACTCAAACAAAATCAATAAGAATATCATATTTTGTTTGGAATTCCATGGAGTGACATTTTTACACAATGTTTAAGGTAGCCTATATTATTAAGTGACTTATAAAGACTTAACACTCTAACCTGATATTTTTTGTCAATGGCAAAATGTCGTCACAGTGAAGCCCGGTTGTCACTATCAAAGATTTCTTTGACCGGTAAACTTTGTCCAACAGTCCAAGTCATAGGTTGTCTGTCACTATCAAATTTTTCATCAAAAACTTGGTCAAAGAAAAAACTGCGCTGTGATTGGATAATTCCTGTAAAAGTCCATCCAAGTTTTAAGAAAAAGAGGATGAGATTTAATTTCATCCAAGTCTGTCAAAGTTTTTGATCATTTTTCTTTCACGGTTGTCACTACAAAAAAATCCATCAGAAACTTTGACCAAGAAAACTTTGATAGTGACAACAGGCCTTGAGCCCATATTTATTGTCAAAGGCAAAACTCTGTCAAAGACCTTGTGACATACAAACCATAGCTATCTATGCTCACACCTGTTCTGCTGGAGATCCTCAATATAATGATTGGATGTGACCCATATTATTCATTCATGCATAAAATATAGGTTGAGGGCGGTAACCCAATTTTTTATCTTCATACTACAGAAATACTGATAAAATATTCCTCTATGATATGCAGCTGTTTAGAACTGTAAGTAACACAAACCAAACCAAGGTTGTCCATGTAAAAATTAGAGTAAAAGTCAATATCCAAGATGTGCAATGTCACTAAATATATTCATCTTTTAAGCAAAATTTCTTAGAAATGGATCTCAACAGTTAGATAAAACTTAACATTAGTCATTTATGAGTAAAACATAGGTCAAGATGACAATTTTTTTGCATGGATCTATGTTTTAATCAAAGATATACATTTTCCTACAAACAGAGTTTAGTTGTCCATTTATAAGCTTCCCCTTATTTTGAGTACACTTGTTTAATTTTTTTTATTTCACTTCTTAATTACTTTCTTGTGTTTTCTTGTCACATACAGGACAGAAGATGGGTGAAATTTATTTCTGAGAAAAAAAGAGTTTTTCTTATAGTTGAATATATGACTTAAGCTATATATTTCAGACTAATCTTGGTGTGATTTTCTTATAGTGACAGAATTAATGCTACAATATAGTAAATTTGATTGTGGTCTTGGGCAACCTCCCTACCCCAAGTAATCAGGTCAAATAACAAACTGGTATATCATGTTGCATAGACAATACCTCAAAACTAAAGAACGTGAACTTTACCATAAAAATTAAATTATGAAATTTGCATCATTAGTTTTTTTTTTTATTTTTGGTGATCTTACTTTTTAGCTTAACTTGATATTTTCAAATCACATACATTTTAATTTTTTAAACTTCAGGATTAAGATTTATCAAAAGGAATGTTAACTTATGTAATATTGCCAAAACTTCATTCAAAATAATTCAAATGTACGACCAGTAAACATTAATAATCTAAGTGAAATTCTGATAAATTATCTAACTCTTCACATTTCAATTAAAATTGTGATCCATTTCTTAATGAAGTTTATTTTGCAGCCTGTCCCTAATTCATGTTGCAACATATCTTTAAATTGGCTGTACTCAGAAAACATTAAGTGCCTTTTACAAGATTACAACAAATAAATATTTCATTTACATTTTACAAATTCTAAATAATTATTGGCAGTCATATGGCAATTATTTGTTTTTGTTAGTCCAAGTTTGTTTCAACATCTAACTTCCTGTTTTGGAGACTTTTGGGGGCCTGTTTTAATCTGTTTAATAAGAATAAAAATTATGTGTGTTTTGTTTTCTGCCAAGAACTTCATTATTGTATTATTTTTTGTCACAAGCCAGGAAGATATTCGTCTTTACTTTGACCTGTTCAATTATTATACATATTGTTTTACTAGAAATTAACAATTATTTGTCAACAAAGCAAAAATACTCAGCATGGTTTTAATCAATTCTGTGACAAATATTAATAAAACAAGTTTGCACCAGTTACAACAACTGATATGCAGTGAAAAGGGAATAGAGAATAAATTTTCATTAAAACGTTAGGGTAGGAGTTCAATTAGTATCTTAGTGGAAGCTCTAAATAAGCATATTTGTTTTATTTGGCCGTAGCTGTTGATTGTTCTTTAATGATATCAGGACAAATTTTGTATTGTCCAACTGCTTTCATATCTTTTAATGATATCAGGACAAATTTTGTTATGTCCAACTGCTTTCATATTTTTTAATGATATCAGGACAAATTTTGTATTGACCAACTGCTTTCATATATGCATAGCTAATAACTTCTTACTTACAAACCAAATGTAATTTCTTTCTTAAAACAAAAAGATAAACAAAACAGTTAGAGGTTGTTTTTATGGATTGATTGTTGCTTGTTTGTTCAGTGGAAAATATTTCATGCATATACAGGACGAGTGAACAGTTCATGGACACCAACCGTCTTTGACACTTGAAACTAAACTGATACCTGAAGACGCTTACTTCAGGTTACATTTTTTAAAGGTAAACAAATCAGCTGTTGTCCTCCACAAGAGACAATGACTGCATACTGTGGATGTTAATGAACTGTTTTAAGTAAATTCACTCACATGCTGAAATGTTTTACTTCAGATTTGGTTGAAACCAACTAATGAAGCATCTTCTAGATGTCAGGCACATTCAAGATTAAGATACTTACATTGTCACAAATCACATTAAAATAGCCTTTACACTTTGTTTACTACTGTTCAATCGCACAATCACATGAAATACTTACTTCAAAAATGTGTGGATTTAGAGTTTTATTTCTTTGTGCTAATGTTAAGGCTTCTTTGACAGAATCTACAGCTTCTTTTGTATATGTCTGAAAATACAGGTTTAAGATTACATTTTTCATGCGTAAAAGCATTTGCACCTAGATATAATTTGTAAATGCTACTTTGCATTTTGTCTTAGATATCAAAAATGTAATTTTCAAAAGACTTTTACTTATGTCTGACCGATCTTTGGAATAACTTAAAAATGTTTAACATCAAATTCTGTGATAGAATACACCAAATCTATTCCATCATAACACAAGATAATATTAATTCAGAAATTATTGCAAGGTTTTTATTAATTTTGAATAATGTGACTAGGTAAGAGTCGCAATAATAGGAACTACATTCTGATATTTGATATGGATGCCACTGGACTTAAACAGCCATCTCTACATCCAAAATTATACTGAAATATGTTACCAAATCCAGCAGGGAGCCTGTGATGTTTGTTATTGATAATTGTACAATGTAGGTAGCTTGATTTATAAATGTTTGACCTTCTCCTTTTTGTCTGTGAAATTTGTTATTTCAACATGTACATGTGTAGGTGGTTTTTCATATATATATAACAAATTTCCTTACATAATTACTAATGGACATATGTTGAACAACTTTGTCTTTGTAATAACAAATAATTAACTGAGAAAACAAAATACAGCAATAAACAATTGTAAAGTAAATTCCAACCTCCAGGGAGATTATCACATTACATAAATGTCTAAATCTTGTAATAGAGGAATGACAGGGATCTTAAAGGTCTAGCTCATCAGGAGTATCGAATGGCAATAATTAATAGCAATGTTTCAACAAATATTTTTACATAGCTCAGCATTGTTTTAAGTAAATATTTTTACACAGCTCTGAGTTTTTGTGATGTTGCATAGCATTTTTTCACTATTCCCTTTAAATTTTTCTGTGGTATTTTCTTGATCTGAACTTGCATGCAGCCAAGTCGTTCATTATAAAATATATATATATATGGTCTTCTTAAAACAAATAAATGGTACATATATTGATAACATTTATTTAAATGGAGAAGCCTTCCATACACTTATATTTTTTTATTTTTTCATGCAATTTAGGACTCTATTTGTTAAGATTTTTTTTATTTTAATAATGTAACTCCAAGGGATCAAATCAAATATAGCAATGAATTCCCCTGTTTGCTCAAGCTAGTGCTAATGGCTGTGAACTTGCAGTGAAGTGAGAGTTGAAGGCTTAGCTATAACTCTTCAAGTGCATGTAGTGAAATATAATACTACATTCTTTAAGAATAAAATCAAATTATATGAAAAATTCTAGTGGAAAACACAAAAAAAGAGTAGATTTAGAGTGCATGATTACTTAAATGAATACAAATGCTCTTAAATATTTACTATTCCTCAGCATTATAAACAACACACCTTGTTCAAGGCACATGTATACCATTTTATATTAAAGTATTTATTCTGAGGGGTGGACAGGAGTGATAATTCCCACTTCCCTTCCCTTTCCTGGAAGGACTCATCTTGTGTAAATAGGATGCCTCTTGTTGATGCAGGATTTCATGAAATGGCAAGTCCAGACAGAAAATCTTGTTTCAGTGACCCATGAATGAGTCTTCATTAGAACCCTGAATGGCTGAGAATGGTACCATAGGCTAAAGAAACTATTTGATTACTGTGGATTCATTTCTATTTGTGGAATACATGTACCAATTTGAGTGGATTTGGTGGGTATACGTAAACCATAAATTTAAATATTCAACGAAGTATATATCTTTTCTATAGGCTTGTATGCAGACTTTGGCAAATCCATCAAATCAAATATCCACAAAAAAGTAAAGGAGTAGGTCCAGTAAGACTCCTTTTTGGCCCCAAAATATAGCTGTTTTACAAAATTGTTAAAATGTAACTTTTTAGCTAGTTATTGGAAAGTAGAATACTTCTGCTACATAAATATGGGCTGTTTTTGACAATATAATGCACATGTATCGTGTACTAGCATCATTTAGTCATGCTAAATTACTGAAATCTTCACAATTTTAGCATTTGAGTTAAATTTTAGACGGTTTCCATCTTAAATGGAAGTGGAACATTTGTGTTCATTCTTAATATTTAAATGTAAGTTGTATTTGATGATAATACATAACATATATAAAGATTGAGAGTTAACACGGATGCGGCCACTTTCATTTTTGACAAAAACCATCTGAAAATGTACATATTATGGCATATTTGATAGATTTTTCATATTTAAGCTTAAATTTGAGCGACTGAAATGACTAAATCAGTTCAAATCTTTCACAGAAAGTAATTGAATCGAATGAAGTAGACACTTAAGTGTTTAAAAAGTGTCCAAAATCTTTCATCAGATGAACCTGAAATTTGAGGCCAAAATCGGCCCTTACCGGACCTATTCCTTTATCCTCAATCCACAAAAATTATGAATCAGCAGTATGTGCATTGTGGTTGTCACAATAGTGATATATCGAATACTTGCATGTGATTGTGATAAAAGTTCTTTCATTATAAATTGGTCGTAAATTTCTTTTCCTAATTTTATTCTTTCTTCATCTGTCTCTAGTTTTTCAAATTTTCTAATCTGAAAAAAAAAGACAAGGTAGAATTATTAAATCACTGTTTATGATAAAATTTGCATTAAAATCTACATATGCATGCAATATGACAATTCATTATTTCTGGTAATCAGCTTATATATAATTACTCAGGTGTGGGAAATTTCCCTTCAATTTGAAGAAATAAATGGCAACCTTATTACCTCTGAAAGAAAGAACAAATAAAGCAAAGTCAACAGTCAATTTTGTTTGAGAAATGGCTATGAGATACAGCTGTTTACTATAGTATTTTTTCTCATCAATTGTCTATAAATTTAAATACTTAAGGAGTTTATTCAAGTGAAATTGCAAAACAATCACCGGTTTGGATCTGCTAATGGCAATTAATTCCATGTATTTTAGCACAAAACATCAATTTACTATTTATATGCATAGCATCAAGCTAATTTGTGTGACACATGTATAATAAATGTGGATAGTGTCCACATGTGGACACAGATGATGCCCCCGCTTGCATATCATATAGTTATAAAGGGACATAACTGAAGAACAGTAAAAGTGACGCTACCCAAATTTTAACTTGATCTGAGTTTTGTGTGTAAGTCTCATAACATTTGGTTGAGGCTAACTTTAGTAGAGAACAGAAACTAAAAAATTCAGCAATTTTTCTATTTATAAAGGGGCATAACTCAATAATGGTTAAAGTGACACTACCCAAATTCAACTTGATCTGTGTTTTATCAGTGGAAGTAAAAATTAAACATTGCATTGTATACAGCATTGATTGTAGTTGATTCAACTATAATCATGGACAAAGGAAGATAACTCCAATTTTAAAAATAACTTGATATTTAGAAGAAAATAAAAATTTTGCAATTTTTTCCATTTATAAAGGGGCATAACTCTAGAACGGTTAAAGTGACGCCACCAAAATTCAAACTTGATCTGTGTTTTGTGATAATAAGCATTGTATATAAGTTTCATAACATTTGGTTGAGCCAAACTTAAGTTAGAGGACGGAAACTAAAAATTTTGCAATTTTTCCATTTATAAAGGGGCATAACTCTAGAACGGTTCAAGTGACGCCACCAAAATTCAAACTTGATCTGTGTTTTGTGGTAATAAGCCTTGAGTATAAGTTTCATAACATTTGGTTGAGGCAAACTTAAGTTAGAGGACGGAAACTAAAATTTTGCAATTTTTCCATTTATAAAGGGGCATAACTCTAGAACGGTTAAAGTGACACAACCAAAATTCAAACTTGATCTGTGTTTTGTGGTAATAAGCATTGTGTATAAGTTTCATAACATTTGGTTGAGGCAAACTCAAGTTAGAGAACGGAAACCAATTTTGGGACGTACGTACGTACGTACGTACGTACAGACGGACAAGGGTAAAACTTAATGCCCCCACCGCTACGGCGGGGGCATAAAAACACTAATATATACCAATTCCTACATGACGGCTTCTAAATCAAGAACATTTATTACCAAATCATCATGATTATATTTTTGCATTCTTTATTTCTTTATTTTTTTTTCATAGCAGATGCCAAAACAGTTAAATACAAATTCTGCTTTTAACTGATGATGCAATGTGTCAAGTGGCCTGTAACAACACATCACGATTTCCTAAACAATCCAAAAGCTTATACATTAATCAGTAATAACAATTAATTATTGTAATAATATAGGTCTGATAATAGGCTAAAAATGCACTACTGGTAATTAGGTTGTTTATTTGCATTGTAATAGCAAATATAAAGGAATACAGGTAATCTTGTTTATTTGCGTTGTAATAGCAACAGGAAATTAAGGTTTGTGGTTTGTAGTGTTACTTGTTGATTTGTCTAATATCGTCAGTCAACTGTCTGGCATTGAATATAGACTATGCACATTAAAGAAACCTTGAGACAAGTCTTTGGAGGGTCAAAAGGAAGTCTGTTGCAAGTCAAAATTTCTGTCCCTAGTGGACATTTTCTCTTTCTCCACTGGCAGCCCAAATATGTGTCCCTCTATCCCCGAATCAACCAAGTTTGCACTACTGACCTATTGATTAATTGTTTATTTTGTTCTTGTCTTGAATAGGCATGAAATAGTTGTCACTGGATATTAATTTAACATAATCATCTGATGTTTCATATCATTTGTGCTTGAAAAGGACAAATACTAGTGTACAAATCGCAGTCTTCACATTAAACTTCTTTATCGCTATTTTACGAATTTTTCCTTTGATCTTACTGACTGATAATTTCCGTTCTCAGCAGAGTCGAGTGATATGAACATTATCGCTAGAAACTAAGAGAACATGTGCCGTTGTCAAGGAAATTTACAACGTCTTCATAGGTAAAATAGCGATAAACAGATTATCATTGGTCATCTCAACTCGATTGCTTTTCTCGCTTTTAGACCCCTCTACCAAGAAATTTGTTTTGCATGCACACATATAAAAATTGCGGTTTTTAACTAATGCAATCATAGGTTTGAACGTTTTTTTCAATTTAGACTTGTTCATATTTTTTTTGCTTGGGCTCGTATTATATTTGCCTTCGGGTTTATATGATCTGTTCATCCTATTTCGACTCTTCAAAATTCAAGAGTCCTACCAGCTCAAGCGAGAAAATCAATCTCGTTGAGAGAACCAACGATAATCTTTAAGAATCTACAGGCCCGTACCTGAATTCTATCAAAATTTTAGTTAGATTCTATTCGCCTGTAGAGATGATTTTTAGAAAAAATATTTTACAAGCGAGGACTGGTGGGCCTGTGGTTGAGTGCGAACACTGCAAATCACAATTTCCTACACAGACTAACACTTATTTCAGATAATAAAAATAACAATGATTTATGATAAATCAATAATTTTCCATGTGAATGCACCCACAAGCTCCTTAAATGTGATGCCACTAGCATGAGCTCCATTTGTATGAAAGATGTATATAATACAGATACTCAAACTATTCCTATTCTACATCAATGTTTCTAAATCGGGAATATATGTACTGCCTAATTATTTTTACTGAACATGATAAAAGTAATCAAAATGAAGTTCTCAACAGTAACACTTCATATGATGTGCCATGTCAATTGTCTGACATAACGCATCATTCCAAGTACAAATGTACTCCAATTTGATTCAAAAGTTCAGACAAATGCATCACGATTCTCTACACAATCCAACAAGTAATCCTAGACCAATCAAGCAAAAGTTACACTTCTCTCTCTACATATTTACACTAGTATTGGCATTTAAAATGCCATAAGATTCCTGTAGATAGTAATCTGTCTGAATAACATGACAATATTGAACATTAATTCTGATCCTAAATGAATTGATCAACAGAAAACCTTTAAGTTAGGTATATACTGCAGGACTTTACGACAACCTCTATTTCTTTTTCAATTTCAAATGTTTACATGTCTGTATGCAGCAGTCTTCACAAACATTTGTTTGACTTATAAGCCTGAAAAAGACTTCATAAAATTAGATCACTTTTCAGATAAATTTCACTGGCCCACCAACATTGCAATGTGGCTCTTGTAATCCTATGTTTTATCTTTTCTTATCAACTAGTTCTTGTAATCCTTTGTTTATCCCTTCTTATCTCATGGTTCTTGTAGTCTTATGTTTATCCCTTTTTATCTCATGGTTTTTGTAACTCTATTATCGTCCCTTCTTATCTCATGGTTCTTGTAATTCTTTATTTATCCCTCCTTATCTCATGGTTCTTGTAATCCTTTGTTTATCCCTTCATATCTCATGGTTCTTGTAATCCTTCGTTTATCTCTTCTTATCTCATGGTTCTTATAACCCTATTATCATCCCTTCTTATCTCATAGTTCTTATAATCCTTTAACCCCTCCTTATCTCATGGTTCTTTTTATCTTTTGTTTATCCCTTCTTATCTTATGGATCTTCTAATCCTATTATCATCCCTTCTTATCTCATAGTTCTTATAATCCTTTAACCCCACCTTATGTCATGGTTCTTGTAATCTTTTGTTTATGCCTTCTTATCTCATGGCTCTTGTAATCCTTTGTTTATCCCTTCGTATCTCATGGTTCTTGTAATCTTTTGTTTATCCTATCTTATCCCATAGTTCTTGTAATCCTATGTTTATCCCTTTTTATCTCATGGTTCTTGTAACCCTATTATCATCCCTTCTTATCTCATAGTTCTTAAAATCCATTAACCCCTTCTAAAATTTATCTCATGGTTCTTGTAATCTTTTGTTTATGCCTTCTTATCTCATGGATCTTGTAATCCTTTGTTTACCCCTTCCTTATCTCATGGTTCTTGTAATCCTTAGTTTATCCCTTTTTATATCATGGTTCTTGTAACTCTATTATCATCCCTTCTTATCAGATCATGGTTCTTGTAATTCTTTATTTATCCCTCCTTATCTCATGGTTCTTGTAATCCATTGTTTATCCCTTCATATCTCATTGTTCTTGTAATCCTTCATTTATCTCTTCTTATCTCATGGTTCTTATAACCCTATTATCATCCCTTCTTATCTCATAGTTCTTATAATCCTTTAACCCCTCCTTATCTCATGGTTCTTGTAATCTTTTGTTTATGCCTTCTTATCTCATGGTTCTTGTAATCCTTCGTTTATCCCTTCTTATCTCATGGATCTTCTAATCCTATTATCATCCCTTCTTATCTCATAGTTCTTATAATCCTTTAACCCCTCCTTATCTCATGGTTCTTGTTATCTTTTGTTTATGCCTTCTTATCTCATGGCTCTTGTAATCCTTTGTTTATCCCTTCGTATCTCATGGTTCTTGTAATCTTTTGTTTATCCTATCTTATCCCATAGTTCTTGTAATCCTATGTTTATCCCTTTTTATCTCATGGTTCTTGTAACCCTATTATCATCCCTTCTTATCTCATAGTTCTTAAAATCCATTAACCCCTTCTAAAATTTATGTCATGGTTCTTGTAATCTTTTGTTTATGCCTTCTTATCTCATGGCTCTTGTAATCCTTTGTTTACCCCCTTCTTATCTCATGGATCTTGTAAT